TTTTTCTAGAATTGGGGTGGATATAACAAAACTTTTATTTTGTCCAAGATAGCGAGAAATTCTGAGAAATTTCTGAAACAAATCGGTTATAACGTGAGTTCCTAGAAGACATAAAAATCCTGCGAGTCTCCATTACGTATTGTAACTAGAATTTTTTTGGAAATGTTTTTTTTTTGTGGGCTAATGTCTTACTTTCTCAATTTTGAACAACTTTTCAAGCAGAGAATACTTTGTCTTTCTGTGTCAATGTGTCGTCCTCCAAAAGAAAATCATTTTCTATCAAAGAAAAAATATTAATAATAAAATAGTTCGAAAGTGGTAAAAAACAAGGTGTAATCTGCAAAGAGAAAAATTTAGCAAGCTCTACATTGGCAACAATTTTAAAGAACAAGGACAAGAGCCTTATAGTACAATTGGAAACTGCAATTGATAAGATAAAAATGCTTTATTACAGCAAACAAACAAAAATTACAGTTTTCTTAAGCATTGTTTTACACTGCTTTAATATTCATATTTAATAAATAACTTACATAGTGCATGTGTAAAAACTTTAATTATTCATGACTGTAGCGAAAAACGGTTATAACGAACAAATATGTTGGCCCCTTGAGTTCTCGTTATAGAGGGGTTCTACTGTACTAAAAAAGGTATAATTTCGTAAAAAAAAATACAGTATGCAATGATTGCTATAATGATGTTTGTAATGTTCTATATCCCTTAACATCAGTCTCAATATTCTTACGTTACCAGATTACAATGTCTTAAATTAATAAACTAAATTACATATTTCAAAATTGCTACTGAGCCAAGATTCAAGTAAACAAAAAAATTAAATATAGTTTGAACACCTACATATTTTCCATACTTGAAATTAATTAGAAATAAATACCAACTGATTATACAGAGTGGTTATAAATGATTTTCATCTAGCCAGCTTTGGAATTTTTTTGCATGTAACTTTATTTGTGCCGCTCTACTTTTTTGAAAGCTTTAGTTCTGTCATTAGTGTCACTTATTAATTAATAATAAATTGTTGTTACTTAAATTTTTATTGTTTCAACTAATTTCCAGTAATAATTGATAATAATGTATACTTTGGAAGAAAACAAGTTTAGTAAACGGCGATTTTTTAATTTTGAGTTACAACAAGTAGGTACCCCTATTTTCGTAAAGCGGCATTTTTTATTTTACATGGAAAATTCACAGCTGGCTAGATGAAAATCATTTATAACCACTCTGTATATTTTTAAACAAATTGTGCTACAAAATTTTGTAATTTTGTTCGATTTTACCAAATTAGTCTTAAAATTTATATGTTTTTTAAATGCAATTCAAATATTTTTTAGAAGTTTAACATTTACTTATCCTTAGAAAATATACAAATCGTATAATATTTTTTGCAAAGAAAAAAATGAAAATATTTGCAAGCCATCTCGTCACTGTTCGATAAAAATCCCGAATAATAAAAATAAATGAACTTCACAGTTTGAACTATGTTTGTAAGTGTTTAGAAGTGAGTTGAGCGTGATAAATAAGTTGTCATTACAATGGAATATATTACCCATTCAAAAGCTGTAATTAAGCGATTTAGGCAGTCGGTTATCCGCGAGATAAGACAAAAGCCGTGAAGGTACCAATAATACTCTCTCAGCTTAGAGGGCTTATTATGCATTCCTAGATAATGGCAAATGTAGCACAATCAATCTTCCCCCAAATCGTATTATACCTTGTGTATAATTAAAATAAAAAATCTTGATATAGTGACTCTGTCGTGATTTTGGTTGAAGTGTTAATTATTCAGCCGTATGTAATTTCATCCAAAAAAGTTGGGTGCTGGTATCTTCCCACAGAGATGTTCCGACTTCGATAACAGTTCTAAAATTCTGACAAGAGTTTTCTAGCCCGGTGGTAATCGAGACAACTCGTCCTAATCAACTCATTTGAGTCGAACAGGCTAGGTGGCCGTAAACTCCAGTGTCAATTATTTCTCTGCAACTTTCTGTGGACAAAAGCCGGTGCCAGAGAGGCAGTAAATTAAGGAGTGGCAGGATGGCTACGGACCGCACACATTAAGTGATCTTGCATAGATACGCATGCGTTTTAAAAATAATTGACCATTGCTGGCAATAATTTGAATTTTAATGCTTTATTGCAGTGGAATAGATCCTAGATAAAATCGTTAGCATACGGAAAAAAGGACGATTTTATCGTTGAAGCAAGCAAGAATTTCAGTGGTTTTCAGCTGGCTGCAGTTACCATATACAGGCTGTATTATGAAAAACGCCCCAAGCCATAACTCTATTATTTTTAAAGTTATGACAATACTTCTTAGAACAAAGTTGAACATTTTTTGTCATCTATCGTTTAGAATAGATGCTAAATTAATACTGTTTTCTGTTTCACCGAAAATGACATCAACTTTATTTTTTTAATGGAATACCCTGTATATTTTACCACTTTTGGATTCTTTGTTTAATTGTCTTTTAATAAGTTTTAGTACCATGTGCCTAAAACCAACCGTTCGTGAGATATGAGTCAATTAAAAATTTATTAAAGTAGGCAGTGGAAAACAATAATGTAATGTAATGTTAACAAATATTATTAGTTTGCATTTTCTCTTATTATTGTTATACTTTTTTGTGTTCTAGTGATAATGTGTTAACAGACATGATTCAAGAATATTTTGAATGCAATAAAAATAGTTGGAGACCACAACGCCTTTACACTGGGCGGTTTCCAATAAGAGAAGTTCCAATTCGTCGACTTGAAGAAAATTTGAGGATGTTTGGGGTTTTTAGAAAACCCAAATTAGAACAGTTGCGTGCGATAAGCCAACGTTACTTGCTGCAATTTCTTGAATTCATGTTCTTGCATTTTCTTCAATACCTATCTAATTCTGTATCTCTTTGAAATTGGAGATGTTTTAATTTGGGTTTTCTAAAAGCCCAAAACATCCTCAAGTTTTCTTTAAGTCGCTTAAATTTTCGACGATTTGGAACGTCTCTCATCAGAAATCACCCAGTGTAAAAGTGTAGTGCTCTCCCACAATTTTTATTTTATTCAAAATATGTCTGTTTACACATTATGATCCATGATTAACATTAAAAAGTACAAAAACAGTAAGAGAAAATGCAAAGGAATAATATTTGTCAACATTACTTGATATTATTGTTTTCCACTGCCTTTTTTAATAAATACATTATTTGGTGAATATCTCACAAACGGTTAGTTTTAGGCATATGGTACTAAAACTTGTTAAAAGACAATTAAACAAAGAATCCAAAAGTGGTAAAATATACAGGGTGTTCTATTTAAAAAAATTAAGTTGATATGATTTCCGGTGAAACAGAAAACAGCATTAATTTAGCATCTATTCTAAACGATAGATGACAAAAAATGTTCAACTTTGTTCTAAGAAGTATTGTCATAACTTTCAAAATAATGGAGTTATGGCTTGGGGCGTTTTTCATAATACAGCCTGTATATGCACATTTTTGAACAATTGCAATTAAGTCTTACAAGACTTTGGATTTAGTAATTAATCGGCTCTTGGTTCGAGAGAAAGTGCGACGATTGTCCTCTTTCCTTGTTCCTTCACTGCCCTTTTATCGACGCGCTCGATGTAACGTGGTTTCAGGTCATTCGTACTGCATCAAATCAGAATAATCGTATCGAACTAACGGACTTGTCACATATTCTTGAGCCATCAATTGGACGAAGTTATTTTATTTCTGTAAAAGGAAATGTAGATTCATTTGGTGTTTAAATAGATAACTGATGTGTAGTCAGGAGGAAATAGATTTGTTAAAAACAGGTACAAAAGCGATTTCTGTGAAATCATTGTKCGCTTGAAAGCATTGTTTCAAAGGAGTCTCCTGTGGGAGGTCTAATGGGTGAATGTTCGATTATGTGTATAAGAAGTTATCACACTTCACCAGAGCCAACATCCACATTTTCCTGCAAAAAACTTCACAAAGAAAATTGAACGTTGGTTTTTGGTTCTAATGCCTCTGCCTTAATTATTTGTTTTACGAGACGTCATTATCGGAGAACACGCGCACATAAACAATTGTAATAGACCAATAAATTTGCTCATAATAAAACAGGTTTGGATAATACAAGTCATTTTCTGGATAAAAACTTTTAAGAAGGCACTGGCTATCTTTTATGGCCACTCAGCTTTTTTCTGTTTCCAGATACATATTTATCATGGCCATTAATCAGATTTTCATTACGGTTTTTTTGACTACAAACCACAAAATGTGGTTTTAAAGTTTGCATGTTGAAAGAAATAACGATTTTGTTGTAAAAATTAATAACCGTTTTAATTGAGAGATTATAAAAGCAAATATGTAGACATCAAAGCTGGACGAAAGCATTTGATTTGTTCAGCATGCTGTCAGAAAATAATGCGTTTTTAATCTCAGTGGTCGAACATGAGTAGTTCCTGAGAAGTTCATCTTTGCTCGTGAGAATTAATTAACACTTTGTAGCGTTCTCCATATGGTGCAGAATGATTAGGGTTTTTTGCTAGCCGCAGTTGGCACACTTCACAGTAACACGTATTTAAGCTGTCGGCCTTTATTACCCTAGACTCTCATAAACAACGCCTTTTCTCATCTGAAATGAAATCAACTAACTGCTGAAAACGTAATTAGGAAGTACTTAATCGTAATCGAATAAAAAATAGGAAACTCAAAACAGTTGGAACAAAATGAATAATTTGTCGCTTTTATAGTCGATAACTCGAATGTTAAACATCCCTTGTCGGATTGTTGTTGGCAAAGTGGGGCTAAGAACTATTGGACACGCGTCATAAAATAGGCTGTTGTAGTCAATTTGCAGTTTTAGTCGTTGAGCACAAAAATAAAAGAAAAAATCGACTATATTGGAGGGTAATGAAAGGAAGCTTTGTGCTTTTCTCTTTTTCTTCAAACTGCACACATGGATTTTTCCAGATTCCGGTTATCAATTTTCTTACAATCTTGTTATTGTTACAGGACCGCCATGTTAAGGATTCTCCTGTAAGTTCTCGGGATAGAGAACCGGAAGTGGATCCAAGCCAGGATTATCAACTTCTGTTAGGTTATGAGAACCACACACATACTGTGTTACGATTTAGGAGGAAACTTGATACTTGTGACCATCATGACATCCCCATCACGGTAAGTCTGTCTTAATACCGGTAAAATTTATTCCCCATATGGCTACTCGAGTTATTTTTACCCCAAGAGTGTATTTCCGCTCTCTTGTGCTTATGTTTTTTGCTCGTATCAGTCACTGGAATTGAATTAAAGTTTTCTCCGGTTTCTCTAACAAGTACAGCACGTACTTAACACCTCGAGCAAGATATGAACAAAATGAAACCAAGGGGTGGGTGGTAGAAACATCTATGAGTTGAGCTTGCCGGAGCTAACGAGTTTTATTGAACGAACACGCGAGCTGCTTGAGTAGGAGTTTGCTAATATAGAAGGAAATATATCGGAAAAAGTATAAAGCATGATGAGCTTCAACTTTCATAGCCCAAAAAGGAAACTTAATCTGAGTTTTAACTGCTCCATTTATTTAAATTTAAAATAACATACTTTATCATGGGTCGTGGAATGGTAGTTTCTTAAATCACCCATTCTAAAACTGAAAGAATTAAAACAATGCCTCAAATCTTTTAATGCCAACGTGACGTGTTATTTGAATGGCGGTAACATTGTTTCGTCAAACTATTAACACAGACGTAAATACTATCACGAAACAAGTTATGTACTTTAAAACAACTGAATTGTGTTTCCAACTTGTTTTAATTCTAGATGTGGAAACTTTGTAACCGGAAGTCTGCCTCAAAAATGACAAATAGCCGAAAGTTTGCTTCCTTCCATTAATCTTGAAGCAATTTTTACTCTAACAACTAATAAATTAATAAATATACCTAGTAGCAGTTTTAATTTATTCGTGTTTATAGATCACCCTCAAACAAAGTGAAATTAATGAAATTAATGAGAAAACAAAGTAAATCATAACACCATTTTTTATTATTGTACCTTGCATTCGGATTACCTTTGAAATTTCCATAAAGATAAAATATGTAAAATCTTCATAATTGAATTTACATTTAAGGGAAATTAAATTAAAATAGATTTAAAAAATCACAGTTGACAATTTCTACAGAAAGCTGTTTTTTTCAAAATTATTTAATTCGTATACAAATCTAATTACTTCTTTGAATTATATTTCAAAAATTCAAACACAAACTGTTGAATTTAGTTTGTGATCTGGAGATAAGTGGATTTCAGACGTCTGCCACTATTATCAATTCGAAAATCAGTATTTTGAAGGAAGCAAATATTTGTTATTGAGATCTCAAATCAATAGTTGAAAACTGTGGTAATAAATGAAAAGTTCCATTTTCGTGGAATAGTCTGCCGATTTTATCGCGTTGTTTTCTAGATTTATAGCTCAGCAGTAACGATTTAATTAATTAAAGGTTCTATGAATTAGGCGGTTGCCATGAAGTTCCCGTCGTTTTCTATAAGCCTACATGAAAGCGGAAACGCTAATCGCCTCCTATGTCCGTAAGAAATTCCTTAAATATTTACACAGCATTCAAACCTACCGAAGGCATAATTCTCGCCTGAAACCGATCATTGTGAACCGGGCAAACATAGTAATTGGGTAAACCCAAGGGTTGATCTTTCGATTGGAGAGGGTTTAACTTGAAGCTTGAAGCCCTAATTAAATTGTAATTTTTATACCTCAGCTTAATTTTTGCGTTTTTTCCAGAACGACACGATGAGGGTAGTGTGGGCTTTCCACTCGGAAGAGCCTGTGGGGGGGTCAGTGGGTCCGAACTCGTTGCCACAACATGACGTAGAATTTAGAGGAACCCAATCTCTTTATTTGGTTCAGAGAGCCGACCAAGAAGCTCCAGGACCTGAAGAAACTGCGAGAATTTGGGAACTACGAAACCCAGCTGTGGAACCACCAGCACCTGCTGAAAATTTGTACTGGTGCCGAATTTTCAAAATTCCTGTTATTACGAGGAAGCATCATTTGATTCGGGTAAGTTTCGATGATGCGTTTTTTCATTAATTTTCGATTAGTGTCGGTTTTCTGCACAGCTGCAATTTCAGCTAAACTCGATTTCGTTTTTACCATTCGAGTTGACGTTGTTGGCATAATTTTTCGATTTGAAGACTTGAGATAAAAGTTTTCTCGGATGTAACTTTAAAAGTCCTCGGTATCGGACCGTTATTGAAACAATCCCATCCATATGAAGACACCTTTATCCTATTTGTAAATCCCAACAGAGAAAAAGCTCCGAGACGTTTTCACGTGTCGCTCATGTTCAAATCTCCAAGATATGACATGCAAATTGCTTAGTTTTGAACTCGCTTCACGGATTTGCAAATAATATTATGCGTACGTCGAGGGGTGCGTCGCCGACATACGAATTCATACGAAATTTTACAGTTCTTTGTTATTTAAATTCCAGATTACTTGAAATTATATTTCTTTGACGGCTGCGTTTGTTCACTTATTGTAAATGGGGTGCGAGTTCAAAAGATATGAAGAGCCTCGGTAATATTCAAATATTGATCCCCTTAGCTGACATTAAAGCAACTAGCAACCCCACTCTAAGACATTTACGTAAATATTTTCCTTCGGTCCATTCTTTCTCAAAGAGGAGGGAAAGAGGCAATCAGGAGATGTTCTATCGCTGCCTGTTTCTATTAAATTAGGTATTTCGCCGGTCCACAGCAAATCTCTAACTTTGCTAAATCTCTACTGCAAACGGTTGGGTCGCAATTTGGTAATAATTTAAGCAATTAAGAAAATAGTAATTGCTTTTGCATTGTTCATATTTATTAATTTCACTATAAAGCGTTTGTTGATTATTCTTCAAAAAACGTTATAAATTGTATTTGTGGTATAATATTGTGAAAATTTGAAACATCGGAGTCACTATTTCTATTGCCACAAAAAAAAACACAAAATGAAGGATATTCAACTTTAAAAATTTGTAAAGTATTTTTTTTTTGGATAATTTTAAAATGTAAATTATTCTGTTTCAAAATAGTTGCTGTTGTTTTTAAAAAATCACAGATTTAATTTTTTATAAATTACAAATTTTAGGACCCGTTTTAATTGTAAAGAGTTTACAAAAACAATTTTCTATTTCTATTGCGACAAAAAAATACAAACATACATAACTTGAACGCTCTCACACCCGTGTAAAACGTTAATTTAACCATCTTTGTCACGCAATAGCAATTGTTTTTTCCTGGAAATTGTTGAAAAATTTAGGAACACTAAAAGTAGAAAACGGCAAAAGGTGGAGATTGAGTGAAGGTAAGAAATAAAAATTCAATCATAATTCTACGAAGTAGTAGAGTTTCATAGAGAAAAAAGGTCTAAAAGTGCTTAAATTAAAGAAAAACATCAATAAGAGTGCGTTGGCTTTCAATCATTCAATCTGACACTTCTGTGATTTTATTTATTTAAAGTTATATGAAAACTTTAATTTGCATTTTTTTTTGTAATTCACTGAGAAAAAAATTGACGAAATAGTCCTTTATTTAACATTAATTTTTCATGGCTAATTAGAAAAATTAATTTAAATTCATTATTTTTGCGTCTTTTTCAATATAAATTCGAATTAAATTAAAACAGTTTTTTATGGATAATCGATGAGGTTTTTGCAAAATCTTAAATTTGACTGGTTCAATTACAAGGGCCAGTAATAATCATTTCGCATTCACGTAATTACCACTATTGTGAAAACAATCCGGTTTTTATTTCTTATTGCCCAAAATCTGACAAAAACCTAGCAACAATAAGTATAACTTTACAATAATGAATAATTATTGAATTCTGTTTCGAATTATTATAAAAAATCAGCTTTTAGTGTGAGTTATCTTACTTTAATTGGATCTAATTTTGCACAGTGGGTAAAAATTAAAAATAATTAAAAATTTTGTCTTCTTTGAATTTATTGTTCATATAAGAAATAATTATTTGAAGCATAAACGTTAATTAATTTTCTTTACTGTCAAATGTCCAAACTGACAAAGTTTGACATTTTTGGGAGATTTACATAACACTGTGTATGTACTACATTTATTGTGTAATAAAATTTGTATTTTGCTCAATTTTTTATTCAAAAACAACGATTCGAGTCGTTTTCAGCGGTTTTAGTTTTTATCTGCCAAATGTTTCAAAAAAAAAAATAATAAAAAATCCTCAATTCCATACAATTAGCACACAAATTCTAAATGGTTCAAAAAAAAGAATTCAAATTCAAACAAAAGATCGTTTTTTTGTTTTTTTTTTGCTAACGGTGGCTCACTTAAAATAAATTACTGCCAACATTAAAAATTTGAACAAAATCGGTTACTAAATAATGAAGTTAGAGCAATTTTGTAGTTATAGTGCTAAGCTAGCCTCAAAATTTACAAATGAGAGCTAAAACCGCTTGCCAAACCGTCGAAAAAAATTTCAAAAGTACATAATTCGAGAGATTGGTTCTTTATGTACAATCAGTGCAAAATCGAGAACAATTTGAACTATTTCAGGGACGTATTGAACAATTTACTGATTCAAAATGGTCCAAACAAATTCAAATTTTCAAACAAAAAATCATTTTTTGTGTTTTTTGCCATCAGCGATGGCGTACTTAGAAACATTTCAAGAAAATCGGTCAACGATAAGTGAAGTTATTTTTTTTTAGTTGGAGTACTAAGTTAGTCAAAATTTACAAATGGGGGCTAATTAAACGTACATTTTGTTACAGTTGAAATGATTTTTTTCAGTACGAGCCGCTCCAGGGAATCAAGGGTCCGGCCGGATTACAGCACGTCGTTTTGTACGAGTGTCAAGACAGCCCCCAGGTCGCCCAGCTCGCCGACACCCCCGGCCGTCAGTGCTACGAGCCGAACTCTCAACCCCTTTCGTGCAATACAGTCGTTGCGAGTTGGGCGAGAGGCTCTGAAGGTTTTAGTTTTCCACCCGAAGCCGGTTATCCCTTAGAACCCTCCACATCCCGCTACTACTTGCTGGAAACGCACTACATCAGCCCCACAGATGGCAGTTTAGGGTCTCTTGACGGGTCCGGCTTGAGGTTGTATTATACTCCCGAATTACGCCGGCACGATGCTGGTGTTATATCAATAGGGATGGATCCGAATTGGAGACATATAATACCGCCAGGACAACAAAGAGTTGTCTCTTCAGGACATTGCGTGTCGGAGTGCACCAAACAAGCTTTCCCTCGTAATGGCATAAACATGTTCGCTGTTGTTATGAAAACACACCGAATTGGAAGACAGGTCGCTTTGAAGCACATCAGAGGCAATGTGGAACAGCCTCCCATTGCGGCGGATGATAACCTCGATGCTGATTACCAGGAATACCGCAGACTTGGAATTCCTGTCAAAATACTACCCGGTGACCACTTAATAGCCGAATGTACTTATAACAGCTCGGGAAGAACGGCCATTACTCTAGGGGGGCTCACAAGTCGCGAAGAAACGTGTTTAGTCATGGGGCTATATTACCCCAAACAGAGGTCTTTAGCGGCATGTCACAGTTTGCCAAGCTTACCAACAGTCTTGCATTCTTTGGGAATACAAGAATTAAGCCCGTAAGTGTTTATTACTTAACGTTTCAACATTTTCTAAATTTACTTTTTGTTCACAGAGGATCGAATCCTGTGAGGATAGCCGCTCCTCCAGAATTGGCCGGGATGACTCTGGAATCCAGATTGGTGTCTTATGACTGGGACAATCATTTTCACAATTTCCAAGAAGCAACGATGAAAGGTTCCTTCAAACCATTGTGTCGGACTGCACAATCGACGATATTACCGGTGAGTTTTTACAACTTTTTTCGATGACTAGAAAAAGTAGATCACATTTGCGAGTTATATCGATTTTTGCCGGAGTTGGTGAAAAAGTTCACAAAGCGTTTATGTGAGTGAAAGATGATTCATAAAAATGATGATTTAAGCGCGAAATTGCGCGGAAAGGATATTTCCTTAACAAGTTCTACAACGACGTTTTGTTATAACAACAGGCGCGTAAATGTCTTGTAATTTCATTGGAACGCTGGGATGCTATAATCTCGACCATGACAGCCTCAACGATTTTTCTTTTAAGCGTTCGAAAATGACACGATAACGCTAATATTTTTACCAGATCATTTGCTTCACAAAGTGAAATTTTCTTAGATGCATTCTTCATTTAAATTATAATTTGGATCAAAATTAGTTTTTTTACTATTTTTGTTTGCATCTAAGAAAACGCCACAATTGATGCTATAGAAGCATGACTAGTTCTGGCATACAATGATTTCTACTATTTATTTTTCAAAGAGGCATGGCCAACGAAGAAAAAATCGCAATTTGACATGGGAATTCAGATACGTTCATTGTTGTGCTCTTGATCATCATAAATTCTTTCTTTGGACTTCCGTTATGTACTTATGGAAAAATATTTTAAATATCATTAAATCGGAAGCGACGAATTATTTCTCTTAAATGCAACAAACACTACCAACTTTAGACTGACTGGATTAAGCTTTTTTAATATAGTTTATATGCAGTAACAGTGCAGTCAGTTGTAAAATTAAAAATCATTAAAGCATGGAATGAAATTAAAATAATTCCTAAATTAGTTTCAGAACGACTTTTTTGCTAATTATGAACGGTACATCCACCGGAAGGTTTTCTTTGTTATTAACAGATATTTTTCATTATCTGAAATTACAAAAAATCTTCTCTGAGCTCAAGGTGAGGATTATTTGCACAATTAAACTGCCTCATGTTTAAATGTGTTTTAGTTAGTTTTTCCAAAAAAAAAAAAATGGAAATGTAATTTAATGAACTTATTAATACTGTTTACCTGAGGGTTACACAATTGTTTTGTTGTTTTTTAACACAAAGATAACTTCTCAAAAAAAATTACAACTGATACATATTTCTACTTTGAATTGATAAAAAATAAAAATTTGGTTTTCACCCAATAGGGTCGTTGTTTTTTACTTTTATACATTAGAGATTACATTACAAAGAAGCGATCCATCAATAAGATTAACTTGGAAAAGTTTGAAATCCCAAAAGCGCTAACAACTAACAGTAGCAAGTGGAATAATATGGCGGATGTTTAATCACAACGTTTAAATGTATTCATTTTTGGCATCATAATTATTATTGTATACACAGAACATAGATATTAAAATAAACAAACGCCAAAATATAATCTTAAAACAGATCTGCAAACAGCCAATGAGAGCAAAGCTGGATTACTACCTCACAGCAATTTATTTCATTATACGAGTTTTTGATATATTTTTTTGTACTAAAATTAAGATTTCAAAAAAAAAAACATGATCAATTATTTTTTCATAAAGATTCACAATATGCAATAAAAAAATATGTGCAACGACCCAATTACGATTACTTAAAAGTACCTATAGTAACCTTTCTGGAATTCTAAAAACATGGGTTATCTAATTACAACAAAATCGGACAGTTGGTAATACTTTGGATTATAAAATTGTAATTAGTCTTAATTTATTGTATTACAATAAAAAGGAGATTTGGTACTAAAGAGTTAAATCAATTTTGTTTGATATTGGTGGGATTTGTGCTAATGCGAAAAATATTTAGTTCCAAAAATAATTTGATTTTAATCTAAAAAATACTTCGTTTTAAGTATGAAGCTGCTTCTATTTTTATGTGTTCATTTCAGGGCACAGATAAAGAATTCCATTACCCGAATATTACGATAGCATACGTCCGTAACAATGCCGACCAATGTAACAACTACAAAAGGTATAGCACCGAAGGCTGGCCGGGAGGAACGCCCGTCATGGAATTGGAAGGTAATCATATAGAAGGAGCAGCTCGTAGCAAAGTTTCGCGTAGCAGCAGCAGTCCAACCGCTGAAGAATCGCTGGGATTGAGTAGAGTGAACTCTGCTTGTAGATGTTACTCCTTCCAGACTGTGTTAGTGCTCTGTGTTTTGTTGATTTGGTTCAACCACTGACCTAGTGATTTACCTTAGTGACCTCATGACTGATTTTTATATTCCTAAAATCGTACATGGTGATAGCAACGACTGCTGATTTATTTTATTTATTGACAGTTATTGTGAATTTTTTTGAGTCATACGTTTACTAGTCCGTTCGGCCAGATCATTCGTGCTTTTTGAATGATTTCTCTCTCTTTTTATTAATGTTGTTAGTAAAGCGACTAATCCGAGTGCAATAGTTTTCGCTTTGCTGGAAAATAATGTAGCGGTAGTGGATGCCGAATGGGACAGATGAATACGCCGCGACAGGTCTGTGATGAAAGTAGTAATAAGCACTTTACATGTTTCTTTTCTTTAGATAATAACCTCTGAGTTTTTGCTATTGTTGTTAGTTTACTCTTCTTGAACCTTTCACGAGGGTTATACTTGTATTTATATGTAAATTAATATCTTGTGTATATTTGTAGTCTCGACTGGTGCTATATTTTTTATTCTTTTGTATGTTATGTTATTTCAACTTTCCTTAGTACGATAAAATTTCTTGTACAGTGTAGATAACTTGTGTATATTTTATAAATAAACATAATAAATAAAAATCTAGCAATACGCATTAGTTTGTTTGTTTGACAACAGTTATTTACAAAACAGGTAAGTTACATTTCATTTAATTAAACAAAAGCAAATGTTGCGTTTGGGAAATAAAAGCAATTAAAAATGTTATTGAGTGGTGTGGATGAAGTATGCTTCAATATAATTGAACTGCCAACAGCTGTAATTTTTTTAAACAATTACCTTTGTTTGGTTTAAATGCAGTTTTGGTAATTAGCGTGATCGTTAAATAACAAAATGGAACCAAACAATAGTTATTCTGCGGTTCCTCGTGTTTCCAATTAGCACGTAGCAGGGCATAGAGATCCGTGTCCTTTCTATCGATTTGCAGACTGAGGCCCGGGCGTCATGCACTGCTCCTGAACCGCACTCGAATTATTGATATTACCTGAAAACTGCCAGTTTTATAAAGACTAACGGCCGGAACAAATTTCGTTCGTTGGACGAACGGATGCGGATTTCAATTTTTGAATAAATATTTATAGTATTCTTTTAACTCGCCGGAAACAAACCGAGTCTACTTTTTATCAATTTTGCATTATTATTTTCGGATTATGAAATATTGTTACGAGAGATTCAGACAATGAATCCAAACCCCGACGCACAAATCTACAGGGAAGACTCGAGAAATATGACTTTTATGTTGGAATTTGGTAATAAATTTTGTTGTTGTATAAGCTTCATGGCAACTCACTTGCAGACTGATCATTTGTTACTTCCGGTTTCAGAAGTTTTCTTTCGATACAGTTTTCGTCGGAATTTTATGTCCAAGATAAAACTACGACTACGAGAAACGTCAAAACACCCACGTTCATTATTTTCACCTCTCATAAATGTCGTTTTTTAAATAGTGTTATTTATAAAATAGTCGTTTAAAATCTATAACATGTAAGGTGTGGGTGTAAATTATTTCAAGGATTTGGTGATATTTTAAATAAGTGATGATAAACGTACTAGAAAACCGGTACAACATTCTTATTGATCTGCCGGAATATTAAAATTACATTATCTTTGTTTCAAACTGTAATTAACGAAAAAAATTGTCATTCCGTTCAATACACAACATTACAATAATTACAAACAAATAATCTAAAAAAATTATACAGTGGTTTGCTTATGTTTACGAATTATGTTAATGTCTGCGGTACCTAAATATAACTTCACTTATCAGTAAACATCTTTTAAAATTTTTATCCCGAAGTGGTTAATTAGTTGTAGTTGAAATGCAAATTTTTGCTAAACCGGCGGTCATAAATATTAATTTTGTTCGTAGCTTTTAATGCGAATTGGTTCAACCGGCACCATGGAAAACTGTAACTAACTTCTTCCGCTATTTTACCCCAATTACTGAGGTATGGTGATCAAGCGGTTTACTTTTACAACTTCCACATAACGATTATTTCCAATATACGATTCAAATTTTTTTTCTGAAATTTAACAGAAAGCAAAAAATTTAATGTTTGTTAATTCTTCTCTGTCTAGATAAACGATATCTACACTGCACATCCCATAATTTACACAGAATGCTGAATCATAATAATTGTTCTATCGTATTCAATTACCGGGCTATCTACATAATCAAATCATCCTAAACAAATTTACTTTATACAAAACTATTCGTGATACAGTTATTAACAAGTTTATAAATATTTCTGTCTTAGTTAAGTGAAGCTGTATTGATTTTTACGAAAGCGAGACATCTTAAACAAATAGAGACGAGACAGGAGACAACCTTTATTGACAAATAATTATAAGAATTCGTTTTCTCTGGAGTGAAAAGGTGTCAAGACCCTGAGATTGATAGGGACTTTATCTATTAAATATGGACTGAAACACGTTCCAACTTTTTTATAACTTTATCCATTGCTAAACTGACAGGCAATATTACGATCCATTAAATAAAATTATCCACTTTTAGTTTTAAAAATAGAAAAACAAGATTGTTATTGAAGGACTGAAACAATGCGCTTGGGTTTGTGTGTAACGTTGCATAATAAATGTGTTTCGAATTGAGAAATTAGTTTGTATGTCAGCCGGGAGCAGAAACTCGTGTTTGCAACATTGTTAACATTTACAAAGAACGTGTGTTATTTATGCAAATTAATCATTTTTATAAACTATTCCCTAACATTTTATTTTAAAATTGTATAAAATGTTTTTTTAAATTGAGTCTAGATACAAGAATTGACATCCACATGCGTTTCAAGGATTTGATTTTCATTACTCTGGAGCTAAAAATAGATTACAATTTTAACGAAATTACCGCTGCGGTAATGAAGATTTCGTTAACTATGAGTTTCCGCTATCAAGCAACCAGTTTGAAAGACACGTTTTGAGCATTTTCTGCAAGTAAAATAATGAAATGTGTCTTAGATTTTCAGTAAATTTGGAAAAATTAGTGAAAGAAACAGTATTAACTGCTTATTGTCATGCCAAGTCTAAAAGACCGGTGCAGACAGATCACCAAAAATATTTCACTTTAATTTCTCAAAAGTCTAAACGGAAATTATAATCCCATTTCAGCGGTATTGCACGCGATTTGTCAAACTCGGGTCGTTTCCAATTTTTGCCATATAAAATTACTGATTTGGTGAAATTACCACAATAGCGTGATTCCCGAACATTTACTCCCACATATCATTTTTGTTGCATTAGTATAAAACGTGTTACATCGGCTAAAATGAAGTTTCCAAGGGTAATTTAAAAGAATTAATATTGAAAAATTATGCACCGAATTGTGTGAATATTTAATTAATCTCTAAACAACATGAAAACCATTCACGTAAGTGTTTAATTTGACATAAAAAATAATGGAAGCTTAATTCAAAATTAGCGAACGTTGTATTTAAAGATTAGGGGAAGTAAAAATTTAATCATTAATGAGTTCCTAAGATGTATTCAAAATTTTAATACTTTGCGTTGAGCTTGAAAACTTTTCAACCCAAAGTTAATAAATTTAAAACCATCGGGTTATTGGTAAAAACCGCGAGAAATAACTCGTGATTTTCGTAATAAAACTGAAAGAAAACTTGGTACATGTGATAGTTACCCATTGGTTCCAACTTACAGATCGACTTAATTGAAGAGGAGACCCAACTGTCACTTTAAACTTGGCAATATAAGCAAATAGAAGCTTTAAGTGAGTTAATGTGCTACCTTTTTGACTATATGAATATTTTATTAGTATACTACATATTTGCTTAATTTATCCGAAACGAAATTCAGTTCAGAATTTCCAAGCGATCCTTTAATCCTAACTAATATACGCAGGCATTTAATACAACTGGGAAAACGCGTAATAAAATGATGCATATGCAGAGTTTTATTGATATTTTTTAGTAATAAACTTAACAAAACTGCCATCAATAATGAGAAGCAGATAACTTCGCATCACCTTCATGAATAATTAAACCTCCCTTAACTTGACCTGGAGTTAAATTAGTGGTGATAGCATTTGCATCGCGAATAATAGATCATGAATCTATTTGCATCATGATTTTAAACACTTATTGTTGGCATTTAAATAAATATGTTATTGCAGTTAATGGAGCTTTCTTTTTGAAGCTGTTTTCAAGCCGGAACACTTTACTATATGTATGCAAAATGACAAGTACACTGAGCTTGTGAATTATTTAATGTTATCCAGAGTATCTAGTTTGATAACATCGGATTAGCCACATGCAACATCACTTTGTTAAGCAAAATAATTCATGCACTCCATAAATATCTGTCGTTTAACACTTCTGTTACATTGTAGCTAAATGAGATTATTTGGTTAAATTATTTATTAAGTTATCTAACGCTACATAGGTGTTGGAGCAGTTATGTGGAATAAAGATTGTTTTTTACTTCTTTAAATATGTATACCTAACCAAAAATGAGAAAAATAAATTGATTATCCTATACCAACCAGTAACACAAAATCTGCATCCTGCGTCGTGAATTATTACTCAATGGACAGCGAATGAATTGTTTCTTTTGTTTTGTATTCTGTCTGTTACTATTAAAAGATAAATCGGAATTAAAACCAACGGTATTCTGCTTTGTTAGGGAGAATTTGTTAATGTCATTTGAAATAAATATTTGAATACTTTAATAAATATTTGATCAAATTCAGCGCGAGATTTATCTTCCCTAAACGGCATAAAACGTCTCGTTAATTATTTAACATCGACCTGATAAAATTCAAAGAAACATTACTACCGTGCGATCAAAAAAAAAATAAATTAGAGTAGGCGGTGATTAAAGTCCTTCAGATGGCAATTCTGATTTTTGACATCAAATGTCAGCGGAAACTTTAACAAGTTTGAGTTTTATTCCTTTTTACTGAAATAATGTTCACTTTAGAGTAGAAATTTTTTATTGCTGTACAAGAGGAAAACGGTGGATGGGCATTTTCACTTTCAGTTTGTGTGGAAAATTTCCAGCCCAGATTCCCAGCCAATGTGTTGCCAACTGTAGAATTAAATCGACGCCTACTCTAATTTATTTTTTATTTGATCTCACGGTAGTTCATTTATAAGCTTTTTAGAATTTTATTAATTTTTAATGAGCAACTTTTACCATTATATTGAAGTGGATTATTTCCCTTCTCTTTGTGCATATTGAATTTTCATATACTGGAGACCAATTATGTTCACAAGTTACAATAAAAATTTCTAGACCATCATTGATTTTATTGCTATTTCAACAACAAAAATATGGTGAAACACGTCGCTTACTTATCTATTTTAACATGAGTTGACGCAAACAATCTTCTTGCTAATGCATTTGCAGTGAATTGATTACAAGGACTTGCATATAGGTAAACAATTGAGAATGTTTCCTCCACATAACGCAATTGTATTCAAACTGAATAGCGACATTATAGCAAGCGGAGTAACCATGATAATTAAACAATTGTACTTCTTAATAAGATTAACAGTTAAATACAGAATTAATATTTATTGTTGTAGAAATGTGTAAATTGTAATAGTTAACGTTTGAACATTTTTCTCTAAA